TAAAACTTGATAATATAGTACTACAAAATAGCACAAAGGCTAATGGTTGGTCAATTTGTTGATCAACTTGCTTCCCTTTCTCCTCCAGCATCTCCAATCGGAAAACACTGGAAGTGTCACTAGTATGTTGAACAACCTTGCTCACCACTTCCCCAATGCCTTGCATAACTTTCCCGATGCCTCAGACTAACTCAAGCTGATGATGGCTACACGGAAACAATGCTGGCATGCAACTGAGAAATCGACCGTGTTGATGCGCCAATAGCTGAGATGTCAGCATAATCCTCCTCCTTAAGTTGATCGTCTTTGACACTGGTTCGAATGATATTTGAATCAGATGAAGACATATTTTTCACACAAAAAAATTACTAATATATACAGAGTTAGAATCCAATACATAGTATAAAAATTCTAAATTTTATATGTTTTTGTATCGTTTGATAATTGAAAATAAAAAATAGAAAGATATTAACGATATTTTTTTTTATCTGGTAATCTATTATCTTTTATAGGCAAGTAAATGTAAGTCTTAAGTTAATCAAATACCGAAAAGATAACCTACCTTGATCGAGATATGCTAATATACACCATATCCCTCGTGAGACCAACAAGCTTGCCGACAAGATAGCCAACCTTGATCGAAGTATTAGGCAGGGCTGACTGTTTCCCATCAGCCTCCTAAAGTCATGTATAGCATCTTGAACTTAGACCAGGCTGCTGTGAGAAGGAAAACCTCTAACTGTTAATCCAGCTCTTTTCTTTTATATATAAAAAAAGAGTTAATCAAATATCGCGCTTAGAATTTATCTTAAAGTGCATACTTGATATATTAACGATGTATAATTCTATATATAATTAATAAAACAAATTATGACATATCATAATAAAATGTTCTTGTAGAAAAACGTGTGTAATAGTTTAACATTAAACTTAATTACAACTATAAGGTGTGATGTGGTGGATAAATTTATAGATTTGTTCCTAATTCAGAAAACATCAATAAATTTATTCCCTTGTATTTAAAAAATTTAGGGTAAACTATATCAGTGATCACTCAATTATATCTCCTTTTCATTTTGACCACCATTTTGAATTCTAGTCAATCAGGTCACCTAACTATTTAAACGCATCCAATCAGACCACTAACCGTTAACATCTAACGGAAGTGTTGTAAAAAGCTAATGGATTAATTTCCAAGTTGCAAAATATTTGTTTACAATGTTTTGTATTAAAAAAAGCGGTAACACATGTCATCACCTAAATGGACATAAAATAAATTAAATTAAATATTTAAAATTAATAAAATATCTTCCAATCTAGTTGTGACACGTGTCACCATATAATTGAAGATTAAATTTTATTAAATTAAATTAAAACTATGACCAAAGATATAGATATTGAGGATCGAATATGTAATTATACCAATTTTATTAATTATCACATCAACACTCCCGTTAAATGTTAACGCCTAGTGGTCTGATTGAATCTATCTAAATAGTTAGGTGACCTGATTGACAAAAATTCAAAAATGATGGTCAAAATGAAATAATTGGGTCATTATTTATCCAAAATTTTATTAGTTTAATTTTAGTATAAAGTTTTAATGAAAATTTTAAATTAAATATTAAATTTAGTAAACTAATAATATTTATTTAAAAATTATATTATAGGCGAATAAAATCAGTCCTCTTATTTATTCCCCAATCCGTATTAGGATTTAGGTGCGGCAAGGGCGGGGCGGGGCGGGGACAGTTTTGTCTTATTCAATCCCTTCTCAATACTTGCATGTAATTTTTTTTGGTGCATTCAAATTATATGTATTAGGGATTTTTTTTCTCATACTTATTCCTACATATCCTTATTGATTTCGGTTAATCTCATCTCAAAAAATAAGTAAATATTTTTTAAATTAATAAAACACCTAAAACTTATAAGATATATCAAATTGTCTCAAATTGGTCTCTATCTATAATATGAAAATATCAAACATCAATATTCATCTAACACTTAATATATATGTACAATTTTAATCATTTTCAATCTCAACAAATCAATGTATATTAAATGATAAAATATCTAAATTTCAATTTTAGTTCCTTTGAGATGTAACACGTAATCTCACAATCTTATCATATATATAATTCTTTATTAAAATATATATTAAAGGTATATAGGTAAATGATTATAATATATTTTTAAAATTTTGTAAAATATCATGGATTTCTATGGATATTTTTTCAGGAATCTCTACGATTATTCACAAGGGTATGGTTCGGTTATTCTAACGGTTCGGATATAACAATCTCAGTCTCCATCCCCATTTGAGTTTTGGGGGATAAAACTTTCCCTATCCTCATTCCTATGGGTGAAAATTTTAGTTATTCCCCATCCCGGTGATTTAGATCTCCACTGTTTTTTATATTTTTCCACCCGATTGCCACTCCTACTCCGTACTCTTACTGCTTCTTTTTCTCTCTTTCTATTTTTTAAATAATTAAGTAGGAAAGATAAAATATTTAAATTGCTATTCTGAATTTATTTCAATCGAAATTTCATTTTAAGGAAAAATACTTTATTATTATATTATAAAGTTGGTGGATTGTATATTCGTTAATGAGAAAAAGGGCGTTCATTGATAGTAAAGCAGGGGGAGGAAAAGATGGTCAAAATGATAAAACCTAAACTTATCTTTATTGAAACTCTCCATTTTGCTCTTCCCTTTTCTTACCTCCTCCATGCATCAATTCATAATTACTTGCTTAACTTATACTATCATACATATATATTGATATTAGAGATACGGACACATGATTTTATATCGAGGGGTAAACTTGAATTTATAAAATTTCAATGGATTAAAATATATTTAAAACAGAAAATACATCGAAAAAATCTATAATATATGATAATTTTAAATTTTAAGATGACGACTGTTCTACCCACCCCTCTCGACCCATATTTAATATTTAATGTAAATTTTAACATCATCATGTATTCATATCACCTTTATAAGATTGTTATAAAATAAAGCGTTAATAATTATAAAAATAAATCAGAAAAAAATAAAATAATTTCATCGTGATATGGTATAAACTATTGATTTATAGGTAAATTTCTAAATAAAGAAGTGGATACTGTCTTTCCCTCGACTAGATTAATACAATATTTCAATAATGGTACACCTGAATAATGAAATAAAACACAACTAATGTTGTTCTTCCAGAAAAAAAATGTTATATATCGTAATTAAAAATATTTTATGATTGCAAATCGACGAACAATAAGCTCTGCTACTCAGGAAAAAGAAACAAGGCTATGTTTAAACTCTTTTCGAAACATTTTTGCACTCAATGTGAGATTATGTTTACATAAATAACTAGTCATATTTAATATAGTTGACCTTTTCCCACGATACTAATAAGATTTATTATTTATTATAAATATACTTAACTAATCTCTTACTAATAAAATCAAGCCACCTAATTTTATAAATTCTAGACCAAAACTCGGTTACAAAAAGTGAGCATGTTACAAATGAATAAAGCAACACTCTTTATTGTTATGCACTGCAAAATAAGAATGGTTTCGGTTTTTTGTAAATTTAATGGAGAGTTGCTTTACCAAATTGGGTCTTTTAAGTAAAAAAAAAAAGCAATAGCAATGTTGCTCATATATAGTATGTCTCATAATGAGTTATGATTCACTTACATATAGCGTAGAATTGTTAGTTTTATATTTTTATAGGATCGTTAGATGAATAAAAATAAACGGGTGAAATTATCTCCTTATTTTTTCAAGGAATATCTTCTTATTTCCCACGGTTAATCTTAATAATCTATTTAACGTTCTTAAAAAAATATAAATCTTAAAAAGTATATTGTTTGAGAAAATGCCGGCTCGTAAGGAGGAGGGTCCCAAAGGCAAATGGTCAAAGAGACTTTTTTGTAATGTCGATGGCTTCAGCACTTGATTGAACATATTTTCTTTTATATCAGCTTCGTTGTGTTTATAGGGTAACAGGATCTCCCGTTTGCTTTTCTGCTGCATCATTTGCCGGGCTGCCAAAACATCATTAAATTTGAAATCGGATCGAGTCGAATTAGAGAGATTTCGAATAAAATTAAAATTAGAGATAAAATTATTGAATAAGTTTAGATCAATATCAACAAGTTAGATCTCTGAATGACTCTTACCTTCTCCCTCTTAGTCTCTACATGGAAAGGAAATTGAGGCCTCTTTACTTGTTTATCATCATTTTAAAAATGAAATATTTAAATAATATATTCGAAATTAATTATCAAAATAACATATTTTCACTAAAATTTAAGAAACATGTGATTGATTATATTGTGCTTTTGCGTATGTGACATTTTAATACAAGATACGTTTGATTGGATTTTTTTTGTTGATAATTCTATTATAACATTAATCCAAAGAGACAGTAGAGCTATTACAAGATAATCAAATGGGAAGGATCACCACGACCCCAACCCTCACACCACATGCAATAAGTCTTTGTGTATGTAGAAAATCTCCGCTAGACTCACCCACTAAAATTATGTGTGTGACCTAGATTGATCTAGATTAATCAGAACGAATCATTGAAACTGAAGGGCTAAAAAAACATTTTATTTCGATAAACAATTTATGATAAGTGATATTTTGATGCTTGATTTTAAAAATGGTGATATATAGATTAAAAAAAGAGAGTCGAGAACAGAAACATTTGTTAAAAAATTCAAAATTGTGCTCTTTGGAATCATAGCCGGAATTTCCCTTTATATTTCAATATTTCGTTTATCATGGCAAAATGTGAAGAACACGAGAAAGTACGTATACAGTCCTCCATATATTCCTTTTTCCTGTTCGCAAAGTGTTGTATATAAAGAGCCCCTCATTGAGTCATTTTCCTTCAACTTCACCCCTCTGATTATATCATTTTGATTTTAGCCCAAACTACGTTTGTTTTCTTTGTAATCTTATAACTTTTAGTATTCAATATTTTGTTTTTCTGAGATATCGTGTTCGTGTTCTCGTAAGAAAACATGAGCAGACCAGGAGATTGGAACTGCAGGTCATGCCAGCACTTGAACTTCCAAAGGAGGGACAACTGCCAACGTTGTGGGGAATCCCGGTCCGGTGGATTTGGTGCTCGCAGAGCATCGACGTTCGGGTTTACCGCTGCGGCTACCGGCTCGGATGTTCGACCTGGTGATTGGTACTGCACCGCCGGAAACTGCGGCACTCACAATTTCGCCAGCCGGTCGACTTGCTTCAATTGTGGCACGTTCAAGGACGAGTCAGCCGTCGGAGGTTTCGACTTTGATATGACTCGGTCGAGAGGATTCGGAGGAAATCAATCCGGTTGGAAATCCGGCGACTGGTTGTGTACAAGGTCGGGTTGCAACGAACATAATTTCGCTAGCCGAATGGAATGTTTCAGATGCGGTGCTCCAAGGGACTTCAGCAATAGAACTTCATACTAAAACACATGCTAAACGTACCACCCATTTTTGGGTACATTTCGTTTATCATATTCTTCAATTATTATTATGGTAAAATATATAAATGATAACTAAATTGTACTAAAATGACTTTTTTACTATTAAAACTTTAGAAGTTATAAAATGATCACTAACTTCTCAAAAAGTTACAAAATAGTCTTTAAACTTGTCAGCCTATAACAAAAATGAACCTTAATATAATGTGTAATGATCGTTTTATAACAATTCGATAAGCTTAATAATCATTTTATAAATTTAGAAGTGTAATGATCATTTATTTATTTTATCATATTATTATTTATTAAAATTCTAATTAGTACTATTTATTAGACTTGAAATTGCAGGTGTTTGAAGGCAATTTAAGTGAGACATGGGGTGTGGCAAATGAGAGCTGTCCCTTGTCACTTTGTAGAACCTTTTATTGGTGATGATTATGCTTTTCTAATTTTTATGGTTCTTTTTAGAGAGTTTATTTATTATATTTTTGTAATGGTGCTTTGCCTTTTCTTAAAAGAAGATGAATCTCTTCTGTACTATCTTTTTCCTTTGAGATCAGAAATTAAAAACAATAAAAAAAATAAAGTAAGCAATTTACAACATTAAAAAACTCTTGTATTTATTAGTTTTAGACATGTGTTTAAAAATAATAAATGCTAATAATTTGTAACTTTAATAATATAATGATATTTGAAAATAAAAAATGTATTTTATTATAGTATGATTTATATTTTTTTATTTATAATCTCATACTTCTTTTAATTTATTTTTTAGTTTATATTTTTATATTTTATAATAATTAAAATAAAAATATTTTTATAAACAAATAATACTATAAAATAAATTGTAAATTAAGAGTGAAGAAATTTAACAGTAAAAAATCCTCAATGTCTGTTTGTTTTTCAATTACACTTTTAATATTGTCCTACCATGCCATCAAAAATATTAATGATTAATTGATGGTCAATTGACCATAAAAATAACTTATTTAAAAATTTAAATTTTAAAATTGAAATTTTCAATAAAAATGTTAAAAATACAATTGAAAATTTACAAAAGTTATAGACTTTTCTTATTAGTATGCTTTCATTCATAATTTTCAATAAACTATTTACTTATTACTAAAACTTTTATTAAAAAAAATAGGTTTAATTATAAAATAAGTACTCAAATTATATTGTTTTTCCAAGTAGATGTCCAAACTTTTTGAATCATTTAAGCGTCAAACGTTACAAACTTTACCATTTTAGGTGTCCGGGACGTAACGACCGTCAAAAAATTCCGTTAAGTAACATGTGTCACGCTCTGGTGATTTTATTTTTTATAAAAAATTATTCCGTTAAGTACCATCGCCGACGTTGCCCTTACCATCTCTCTGGTCAACCGTCGTCTCCATTGTCGTCGTGCACGTTGTTGGATCGCATGGTGTCACAAATTTAGGGGTTTGGGTTCACCAGAGATGCGATTTTGGGCGTGATTGTGCAGTTTCCTTTGTTGGAGACGCGGTATTTATGGTCAGGTTTGAATTTTCATAGGGTGGAGGTCCGATCGACGTCAAACGACGATGGTCAACTTGAGTTTAAGGATTGAAATTGGAGTTTTCAAAGTTTTGAGGTTTTTTAATTATTTTTTTGGCTTTTCAATATATATAATTTTATTTTATTTTTCATTTAAAATAAAATTTTTAAAATTATTAGAAAGTGACACATTTCACTTAACAGTAGAATTTAACGGTCATTACGATTTGGACTCTTAAAATGACAATGTTTATAACGTTAGGCACTCGAATTATTCAAAAAAGTCTAGACACCTATTTCATAAAAATATTATAGTTTGAACACTTATTTTGTAATTAATTCTAAAAAGTTTATGAAAATTTGTATAGTTGAATTTATATTAATTTATTTTTAATTATTAAACAGTAATTAGAACTGAGTTAATCTGACTTACTAGGTGCTTTATCTAAAAAAACAAACAACTCGGATTCGGAGTTATCATACCGACATTTGAACAGGTGTAATTTTCTCATTAAAAAGAAAAAAAAAAAGGAGAGAGAATCTTTATTTAATAGTAAAGAAACCAGAAACATCCCATGTTTTGAAGCTTCCTGCATTCTTCTTAAAACCCCACACCATTTTTAGCAAATCTCTGTTACCATCTCATCTTTCTTTTCTTCTTCTTCTTTGTTTTGATGTCACACCATGAAAAACCCAGGATTTATCTTGTGTTCTTCATGTTCTACATGCAACAGCATCGTTTTCATTTGCATTTTCATGTCAATGCGATCCAGTGTTGCAGTACATTCAGAAAGCTTTGAACTTGACTCACTTTTACAGCTCCCACAATCTGGGTCACCAAAAATCTTACCCATAGCTAAAAAGGTTCTATCCCTCATTGATTTTGGTGCTAAAGGAGATGGTTACCATAATGACTCCAAGGTAACCTTTTCTTTTTGGAATAATTTGATAATGTTTCAGTGGTGAAGATGGATTTAATTCAAAACCCTTCCCGAGTTTTTCTTTTTCTTTTGGATACTGTTCATTCATTGGTTAATAGTGTAGTTGAATTTAATTATTAATATTTTGCAATTTGGTTTAGAACTGCATGCAATATGCATAGATTCTCCAATCATGAGAATTTAGATAATCAGATCAGCTTGTTTACTTTATCTAGAGAAATTTATGGTATTATAGGGTTATGGGTTTACTTACCAATGTTGATGGGATCAAATGGATTGTGACTGCTATCGGCGGTTCGTTCTTCTGATTTGGGTGGAGAGCTATAGTCAGTGAAGAATTAGCCGTTGGCCGGTGTCGATGAATTCTGTCTCTATAATGAAGTAGAACAGAAAAGAGTTAAAGTGAGGTGATTTCATCGTGGTCGCATGCCTCTCGGTCTTAGTCTAAGAGATTTTATAGTGGTCTGCAGTATGTGTCAGTCACAGGGTATAATAGTTATCCGTAGACTAAGCGAATACGATCAGGTGGCAATGGATTTGGCTCGTGGGTCTATTAAAGGTCGTGTCAATAAGTCGTGGCGTCTCAAGATTTAGATCTTCGAGATCCTTCCTCTGGAGACGCCCTTTACGTCTTTTGGAGGTCCCTAGGTGCCGGAGATTCAAAGATACTTTAGGGTTCTCCGGTGATTGTGAGACGCAAGGATGATGTGTGCGAAGGATCTTTAGTGGGGTGTAACAACCCAAAATTTTAGTTCAGAAAAGAAAAGTCATCTGCTTTTCATGTAAAGTTTGCATTTTGATGTTGAGTGTAACCAATTTGTTAAGACATAAAACTGTTTGCTGATATAGTGATGTATTACTGCTTCAAGGCTTTTGAGAAGGCCTGGAATGTAGCATGTTCTTTCCGAGGTCGAATAAGGATTGTAATACCAGCTGGATATACTTATCTGATTCATCCTTTTCAGCTTGGTGGACCTTGCAAATCAAAGATCACTTTGATGGTAAGAGAAGTTGATGATTCAAAATTGTAACCGATGTACCTCTATTTTGTTTATACTAGTACTTATCGACGTTTCTGGTTTCTGCTTGGAGTTGTCTTTAAATAGATTTCGGGTACGATTGTTGCTCCGAAAAGCCCCCATGTATGGGATGGTCTGAATCCTCGCAAGTGGCTCTACTTTCATGAGGTGAAACACCTCCGTGTCGCTGGGGGAGGCACAATCAATGGGATGGGACAGAAATGGTGGGCTAGGTCTTGCAAAAGAAAGAAAAAGAATGTACTAATGCTCCGAATTTCAGTATCTATTTAATTTTGTTCTGCGATTTTTCTTTGAGTTGTTTTTAACGCAGCTTCAATTTCCTCTTTGTTGCAGCCATGTCGGCATGCTCCAACAGTACGTCCTGCGTTGTTGTTTCGGAAATGATAGTTAGTTACATGTATTTTCTTCTTTAGTTGCTGGCCTCAAGGAAGGTTATGTTCTCCTTATCGGTTTCATGAAATGCAGGCTTTGACATTCCACAGATGCAAGGATCTGAAAGTCCATGATATTACGATGGTCGACAGTCAACAGATGCATGTTGCGTTTACTAATTGTTTAAGGGTGACGGTATCCAATCTTAAGGTGATAGCACCCGCTACTAGCCCCAATACCGATGGAATTCACATCAGTTCATCCCGCGGTGTTGAAGTCAAGAATAGCATTGTAAGAACAGGTTGGTTCTGTTTCCATCTTTTCGTTTTTTCCTTTTCCACAACTTTCGTGCATATGGACATCGAAATTATAGTTGGAAAATTCGTCCGAAATGCTTAAAAATGTAATATCTTTACAGTTTACATCTTCCTTTCATGATTACATGCACTGGTGTTTCTTATGTTGATTCTTTCTGGATATCCTTTTAGGAGATGATTGTGTTTCGATAGTTGGCAATACTTCACGTGTCCAAATCAGAAACATTGTTTGTGGACCTGGCCATGGTATAAGGTGAGATCATTTTTTCCCGACCGGTTAAGATTAGGGTCAGCATGAGTAGGTTTAATAACTTTGACATGCTACGATTAGCATCGGAAGCTTGGGAAAGTCGAACTCTTCGTCACAGGTTCGTAATATACTTGTCGACAGAGCCTTGATTTCCAACACCGAGAATGGGGTGCGGATCAAAACATGGCAGGTATCATCAAGTTCTCATAAATGTCTTTGTCTTCTGTTCATGTGTGTGCAAAATGAAATTAAAAACTAGGTCATTCATTCTTGGTAATCCTGTTTTTTCATATATCTTTCCAAGGGAGGTAACGGTTACGCTTCGGATATGAAGTTCACGAATATATTGATGGAAAATGTAGCATATCCGATCATTATTGACCAATATTATTGTGATTCAGACCTGCCATGTGCGAACCAGGTATCGGTTGTTTATAATGCTTGAACCCTGCTAAACAATTTCTTATTTTTTATGCCTAGAGAACGAACTTTATGACGGGTACATTTTCCTTCTCTCTTTATTCATGTTTTCACAACTATACGGGATTAACTCACTTTCTATCGTTCTCGGAGTTTAATGTCGTAGATTAATGCAATGGTAATTGTGTCGACTATTAATTTGATGGAGTGCAGACATTGGCTGTTAAAGTGGAAAACATCTCCTATGTACACATTAAGGGAACTTCAGCTACCGAGGAAGCAATAAGATTTGTCTGCAGTGATAGGCTGCCTTGTGAAGGATTATATTTGGAAGATATTCAACTCGATTCGTCGGACAATGGGGGGGTCACTAAGTCTTTCTGTTGGGAAGCTTATGGATCGAGTTCAGGTCTAGTGCAGCCCTCTCCGTGCCTAACATGCACTGGCTGCTTCATTAAGCAGAAAGTTATTTCCGGCCTGGCCGTTGATTCCTTTTGAGATGATCGTAATACTTACTTTCGATCATGTTGGAGCCAGCCATGACAGAAGCAGTACGACATTGCTGTAGGGTTCCACAACGGACCTAACAGAAAAACAAGCTTACCCGAAACTTCTGCTGCCAAATTGTTTGAGAATTATATGGGTACGTTGTCATACACTTTCTCCCTTTCAAGTAATATATGACAACTATGCTGCAAAACTAGGGCTGTTATGTGTATATATATGTATATTGCCACATAGATTATATGTATATCGTTTCGAGAATTTGATGTTGTTTACGAAAGTTATGCTTCGATAAACTAGTGGAGAACTTTCAGTCACTTTGCAAAGGAAATATTTAGCATATTACTATTATGAAAATGATTGGAATGGAAATTTTGTTTATGTATATTGCTATGGATATACTTTCAATTAAAAAGAATTGGAGAAATATTGTCTTGGAATGGTTTCGACTCAAATGAGAGGATTTAAACAAATTACAAATCTTTAGCCTAGCAGGCTAGCTCTTGAGCCTTCATTTCTTATGCATACTTGGAGTGAATTGCGTTTTGGAAACCCCTCAGCAAGAGGCAGGTCTGAATTTCGAACAGTTCTGTTCTCGGAATGATCTCATCTGCAAAGAGGGTTTCGTCCAAATGATCACACTCAAGCTGCAAAATGCTAGCTTGAGCCCGAAGCATCTAGTTTGATATGTCTGGCATCTCATTCCAAATTGGTGACCTCAACATCAAGATGTCGCCTCTCGGCTGCTCAGAATCCGTCAACACTGCGTAATGTGTCGAGTAATGCAACGATTCAATCAATGAGTTTTTTGTTCAATTTTTTATTCCAATAATCTTTTATATTCCTATTCTTAAATGGTAATTTGGGACTTATTTTATTGTATATTTCATGCAGAAACAGATCTGAAAGAGAGCAAAACAATCGACTCGTTTATATTCACAAACAATCTCATTTACTAACTCGTTTATCAATTCATTTATCAATTCATTTATCAATTCATTTACTCGGTTCTTCTTTTATATTTTCTTTTTTTTGCATTTTAAATATCAGTGAAGATAGATACTAAATTGAACATAATATGAACTTTGTTTTGTTCAAATTGTGAACACTTTAAAAAAAATCAAGGGCTATGTTCTCGAACGTTAAATGAACATCATCACAAATCCTAAATAAGCGAACACGAACCGAATATGAACACTTAAAAAAAATTAAGCTTGAACATAACTCTATTCATTCAAGCTCGGTTTACTCACACTCCTAAATCTAGGATAAATGGCATGAAACTAAAAAAGTCATCGCTGATCACCTGCATTAAGAAACAAAGTTGGAAGATTCGGACATTTAGGTGTTTCTCTGAGAACTTTAATCGGATTTAATTTTCAGTATGATCCTCTCCACTTATCTTCCTCCTCGCTTTTGCTCGACTTCAGAACCAAGATTAACCAAATGAAATATCTATAATCTTCTATTAAAAAAATAAATTAAAACAATATAATAATTCATTTGTAACATTAACTCCACTAAACGACTATGTTCCCCATTGGTAAAAGAACCATAGCAATGTCACTTCACAAGCAAAAGGAAAGATAGCTTGAACCAATGAGAACACTAAATCTCTACACAAATATGACATTATTTCAGACCTAAACCAGTTCCAGAGGAGGGTCAATGGAAGAAACCGACCTTGAATTCTTCTAATCATTTCAAATGATCATCCAGTGCACCTCCCGATTGTATGAAAATGAACTTCGAGGTGTCTACTGGTATCACAATAAACTTCAAAGAGAAACATAGTTGAATGTTAGTTACTAAATCTTGAATTGTTCTTTAGTGGAGTGATACTGATATGTTAAGCAAGTATAAGTGCTGATTAACCCAAAACGACGAAAAACACGGCCATTCTATTCTTCATTACGGCTTGGAAACCTAATACCGGCATAAATCTGAAGCATGCATGAAGATTAAAGAATTCATGCCTATTGGAATGCATGCTTCACTGAGAGAAAAATGGAATTGCAATAGCAAAACATGGAAAATAAGTCGCAAAACAAAGGTGCTTCATGTCGAATGAACGACAAAAATCAGGATAGATCATAGTTTCATGATGACTTACAAGAATTTGAATTGTGCTCTCCATTCGAATTCTCGTTAATATCAGACTAGCTGAGGTGGAACACCAAATTAATTCAATAAAAAATGGGATCTGCTGTTGCTTTGATGTTATTCTGAACCGTAACCTCCAATTAGTTTTGTAAAACTACAACTGCATCAAGTGAAAGAATGATCAGCTTCTTTTAGGCTGTGTTTAACATTAATCAAACTGGTTGGGTTTCAATCGATCACTTCTTTGAAAAATTGACAGCAACGAATCTAATTGAGTCGAGGAAAACGGCGGTTTCCGACTCCTAACCAATTTCATTATCATCTTAGCCTTGCACAGTTGCCCGTTTCTCATAAGGCCTTGAAGAAGTGAATGAATCGTATCCACGTTCGGGAACCAACTCTTTCTCATGCAATCTATACACCTTGTATAGGCCAAATTGTACTCCCCTCCTTTGCACAAATAATGGATCATCGTCTGGTAAATCTTAACATTCGGCCTATGCTTACTACGACATTCTAGAGACGAATATACCCTTTTAGCCATTTCAAGATAACCGGCCTGGCAAAAGCCTTTGATTACCAAATTGTAAGTAACCTCATCAGGCTCTATCCCGATTTTCTGCATCAAACGCATCGCATCATTAGCTTGCCATGCTAGTCTCCTATTAATCAAGTACTGGACCCTAACATTAAAAGTTGTAAGATTAGGTCTGCACCCCTTATACACCATAAGATTCCACAACGCGTTGCCGATCTTACACCGGTTCTTTTGATAGGATGCTGATATAAGTGTCGTGTACGTAATAACATCTGGTTTTATCCCCAACTTTTCCATTTCAACCATGAACAAATATGCCCTATCAAGAAAATCCATTTCACAAAACGCCTTGATAACTATATTAGCCGTATATGTATCCAGTTCGACAAGGAATTTCGACGGAATATCACCGAGAAACGCCTCTATAGCTCCCAAATCACGAGTTTGAATCAAAACCTTAAGAGCGGCATTGAAAGATTTAACAGTTCTCTTACATCCATACAAATGCATATCATGGAAAGTATTGATAGCAGGCTTTACCATTCCAGCTTTACCATACAACATTATAATCCTCATCACGAAGCCTTCTCGCCTACCCTGCGGAAGGGTTTTCTGGTGCTCGAGTAAATGCTCGATGTGATCGAAGCGGCCAGCCCCGGCTAATCTAGAAACCGTATCTTCGAAAGCAACCCTGTTTTCAATAACAAGTCTATTGTGGGCATTCGCCTTGAATAAATCGAATAACTTATCGGGGTCTCTCTCGGTTTTAAGCTTCGAAAGAACAGTTTCTTGTAAAGGAATAGCCTTTGGAGATTGATTTGAGAAAGCTGTACGTGAACAAAACCTGCGAATCGATCGCAGAAATAACATGTTCCAATATCCTCTCATCCATAAGACACAAATCTATGGAACTGAAGAATCCCAAGAATCCAATAGGCATGAAACTAATAGAATAATACCCATATACCCAAAAATAGTTTCTTCAAGGCAACAAATCTTCAAAAGCAGGATAACCCAGACCTCAAAATAGAATCAAATGCAATAAACAGCACACAGATTAACAGGCGCAAATTACATCAAAGAAACCCAGAAAAAAAGTCCTTTAAATCAAAAGTGAAGAGAACGGAGAAGATAAATTTACTGAAAAAAAGTTCAAATTTCTCTCTGCGGATTATGGTAGCTCGGCTGAGGGTTTGGGGTTTAGGTTTTTGCCTATGGTTAGGGCCTTTGGGGGGGGGGAGGTTTGGTTAGAATATCTGAATCCAGTACCCCATATCTAAACATGGGCTCAAAAACTGACTGTTTAATTGGGCTTTTGAATAAGGATAGATATGAGTCGAGTCGGATTTTTAATCGATTTGAGCCGAGTATTCTACCTCTTCATCTTCCATCAAATTTGACTTGATTTGAGGGAAATTTCATCCAACTTGAAACTCGATCCAATTTTTCAAATGAGAACTTTTACCTGGTCAAACCCAACACAAATATATTTTCATTTTTATTAGGTAAAATAATGATCTAATTAAAAAAATACAGAGAGATTATTATAATTATCTCTAAAAAATAAGAGATAATTATTTTATCATCTCGGATCGGTCTGATAAAAAAATTCTATATTCATATATAATGCATATAAATTTCTATATTTTTCACATGTGATACATATCATAAAAGGTCAAAGGAGTTGACTTAAACTTAAAAATCAATCAACTAATTATTAAAAACTTTAAGTTACCCAATTTGTTATTCAAATTCTATTTTATAACTCGATTCGAATTTAAAATATTTTCAAGTAAAGTCTAATTTTGGTCACCCCTAATCTTTCTAACAACAAAAAAATAAAGGAAAAAGATATAAAATACAGAAGAAGAAAAAAGCCATTGAACTATGCTGAAATGGTCATTTTAGGCATACAACTTTTAAATATTACGAAATGATTAGAATTGCCTTCCCCTGAGTTGGCATTCTTTCTACAAATCAAGCCCAGTAAAATTCTCCCTTTCTCCCTTCGGACCCTTCCCATATGCAGGTTGTCAATTGTTCCCATTTGCACCGGTTGCATGTACATAAGGGATTTCATATACATGATTTTCAGCAAGTCGGTTGATGTTCTGGCCTTTAAAATCAAATTTATTTCCTTAACTAAAATAAATTGGTTCATCCCTCCTCCTATGCTAGTATTACTTTGACTTGTAATTTAAATCAACTGACCATTTAGTACCTACAATCATACCATATATGTATCACAAATTCATTAAAGTAATTATACAATGAATACATATAACTCAATTCATTCAAACACAATAAGTCACACCAACTACAATTTCAACATAGCAACATAACTCTTATATATCAATTCCACACAAATTTTTGTAATATACTCAAACATATCGAAACATCGAACTTACGTATAAAAACTTGTAACATCTTGCTTTTTACGGTAGTTATCTATATTTAATGATATTATCAAAAAGTCTGATCGGTTTCTAGAAAACCAATTTTCAGTATTAATTTAGGGAAAATATTTTAGAAAGGAAAATCCATAAGATCTAAAATGATTTGAATTTTGAATTGATTATTGAATTATACTTAACTTGGTTTATGAAATCAATTTAAGGACAATTTTCAAATGACCAAATTTGAGGCTCCAAAGACATTATTCTTTTTTATTATATATTATTAAAAAATATGATTTTATTTTAATGAGCATTATTATGATATTAATAAATTAATAATGTTGAATTTTAATTACATTGTCTTCGCTTATTAAAATTTCTCCTAAATTTTTTTTCCCTTTTTTTCGAATGCTCTCTACCTTGTAAGCTGAATTCTCTTAAATTTTCTCTAAAACATGTATCATTTTTAGTTCTATTTCTAATACATGTGCAACATGACCAAAGGTAATCTATATGAGATGTGAGTTACATGAAAACAATACACGATAAATATTTTCAATTGATACATGTTCTAACCTTTAAATGCATGGTTTTATGGAAATGATCATTATCTAGTGTGAGTGGACAGATCCAATGGTTACGGTCAGAAAAGGGATCTACACTTTGAACAAATGGATTAATATCTCAAGAAAAAGGATCAATGCCTCGGATTTTGATTTTTGTTAATTTTAGAACTCTTATGAAATTGAAATTTTACGTTTTGGAGGATTTTGTTAATTTTAGAAATTGGAATGAAATTGAAATTTCAAGTCTTTGGAGGCTGAAATGAAATTGAAATTTTAAGTCTGGAGGCTTCCAAAATGAAATGAGGTTAGGCCAAGACAACAGAATGCATGGAGGAAGAATTGTCCTTGTAACGTAGACGGCGAAGAGATGATGTGGAATGCATGGTTTGTGCGAATAAAAGATTTACATTGATAGTCCAGAAAAATAATAAAAACATTAAACCGTGGATTGGGTGGGGTGCTCCAGGCCTGAGCAATAGTGCAACACTAGGGCGACGCTCGAGAGCCCCAATAGCAAGCTACTGTGGTGGACCCTCCCCTTAAAAAATAAATTTAATATCATGCGAGTCATTATCAGATATTAAACTGATAAGAACAGATACTACACTTGATCTTAGCCAAAAGGCCGAGAAAGGTATACCCTTCTATGTTCAAGCCCGTTTCTTTTATATGCACCTTCTCCCTGCTTCCCTTTATACCTCAACCATGGGGGATATTACATTACAGGCAGCATCTCGCTTCTAAGCTGCTTCTGGGAACTAATCACAATTTCAGCTTTGGTTTTAAACTCAATTCTAGCATAAAGCAGCGGTTTCATTGGAGATAGTAAATCTCTGCCACTGCCATTCTCTATTATTACAGGTAGCAGTTGTTTTAAACTCTATTACAAGCTTTTTTACTGCATCAAACAAATATTTTACTCTCTCTATTATTCTAAGGGACATTCTAGTCTCTTGCGTTTAGAAGACATATATTTCGAAGGTGAGCAAGTAAGAACGATGTTGCAAATTCCTTTGATTTTAATTCCAATTTTTAATTGATCTTAATAACTATGTTCTAAATGCCTTACTTCATCAAATTCATTTTTGCATCCAAAAAATTCTTGATTCAACAAATCTTCCCTCCATTTCCCATACGTCCTAACCGAAAATGCTCTAATTCTTCAATTATTGCTGCCATTTCAGATCAATTCTTCCATTGTGTCTTCTTCGATCCTTCTCTCATTCTAGGGATCCGTATCTCTGTCATGTATGAATCCTGATATTTTGTTATGATTCTTGATCGTTCGTGCATGTTTACATAAGCACAAAACATAATTATAAAAGACCTCGAAATCTAAATATAAATATGATACATGTATTGAATGTTTATCGTGTTTAAAGGTGTCGTGTTTCTTACACTGTTTCGTGCCCTGTTAAACGAGTCGTTCGATCGGAAAGATAGTAGCCTCAAAGTAATGTTGAAACAATAACAATTAAAGATTCGTGTTTAAAGGTACATTTATATCTATAATACTCCTATAAGAATTAACAGCTGAGGTTACAAAAATTTGATTATTATAGTGGTCTCCTAATCCACCATTGAAGGTTTGGTTTAAAGAGTTTCGCCTGCAAGTAGCCTTTGTAAGCCAACTGCAAATCTGCCGAGAAGAAGAAGAAGAAGGGGCAGACGGTTAGCTAAAATTCAGGTTAATTTCAGTTCCAGAATATTCAATAAATCGAGTAATTTACTCTATGATCAACAGGACTAAAGCGATGCCGAAGAATGCATATTGGTACCACTTGTGCTTTGGGACTTTATGTTTAATCCTATATCCCTCCGGGACATGCCTTGGACTTATGTATCCGAACTGAGGTCGCATTAGAAGGACGAATCCGGCGAGTAGTCCAGCCGCGAACCCTCCTAAATGAGCTGTATTGTCGATTTACGGTAGAAATCCGACGGCTAGGTTCAAGCAAATGATCAACAACATGGTGAACAGAGCCGAACACTATGGGCAAGATTTAAAACTTATATAACCTGCAATTCGTGCACAAGAGGAGATTTAAGATGCCGAGTTTACCTTGTGTGTATAGTTCGACCAGTTGGTAATAAGCTCAGAAAGCATGGCTCCCAAGAGTCCGAAAAGTGCACCGAATGCACCAACGGAGATGGTTTCTTTCCGAGCTTCGAATAGAGCCGATGCCAAGCTCCCACCGAGGCCGGAAACCATGTACAACGGACCAATTCGCACTGCGTTTGTTTACGTAACTCGGAATTATTTAGCATACAAAAAATCTCATCGGTAAACATTTTTAAGGGATGAAGTTCATACAAAATCCAAATTCTTTCTCCAATCGGATTCCCAGGAACAAAAGGCTTAACATATTTAACAGCTAAATGGATTACACCAGCATGATACCACATGCATGATACGAGACGCCAATATTCCTTCTCCTCGGCCACTAGTTTCCAGTCAAGGGCTCCTAGTTTCTTCAGCCTGCAATTAAACCCTAAATTATATCATGCATGCATGTATATATGTATCCATGAGAAGAGGGTTTCTTACGTGATGCATTAAGGGCCGAGAAGAGGGTTTTCTTTAAGACTTTGAAACGAGAACCTTCCGAGATATTCATACCCAATACATTTTTTGGGTTCCAGATACATGTGGACAATCATTGACGTACATGGTATAAATAAATATCGCTATGTCGGCGACAAATACAAGAGGCATTAGCCATGGCGTCCATGGTTCGGGAGGCGGCGGTGGCAGCGGAGGTGGTTTTCTCTTATTATGTGACCTGTCGGGATGTTGCATGTGGTTCGAGGTTCCTTTCTCGATATCATGTGACATTTATGATGATGATGGTGGTGACGGTAGCGTCGGTGGTGGCCGTCCCTTCCCCATGACTTAGAGGAAGAGACGCTGAATAAAATGGACGTCAATGTCTCTGCCGCTTAGACTGGGGAGGGGTGACGGCGGGATTTGGCACCAAAGAAAGAGGGAAGGAGAGACGAGGAAGAAATGAAGAGGATTTGGATGGCAATGAATGAATTTTGCTATGCTGGTAGTTAGTTAAATTTTGGTATTTCTTTTCTTTTTCTTCTTAATACAAGTTCATTGGGCAAAAATATCTTATATATATATAATAGATATTCATTAATAATTACATGTATTTTTTAATCGCC